TACTTCATATTGATAAGTTATAGCAAAAAAGTTGTCTACAGCCACTTTAAAGTGGTATTCAGGTTCACATTTTTTCAATTTTCCTAGTACCCCCTGCAATCTTTCAAAGTACCCCTCAAGGAATGCGTACCCCCATTTGGGAAACACTGCATTAGGACATGTGAGACAGACAACACACAAGTACAAGACAATAAAACAAGAGCATGTTAAAAGCAGAGTGTTTTTGTTCCAATTCTGATCTAAAATGCGGTATCAAAAATGTTTAAATTACTAAAATAACTACGAGGAGTTGAGTAGTCTGATGTCGGTGGGGACAAAACTTGTGGTGCAGTGTGTGTTGTATCTGCGGCTGTGTGATCCTTTAACCAGAGAGACAGAGACAGAGAGACAGAGACAGACAGCACGTTTTTTAAATTATATTTTTAGTCCTTTCTTGAACTACTGCATGGGAAAACAAAAAAAACACCAAAAAGAACAAAGAAAAAAAAGATATCAGCAGATGCTTCAGTCACAATTAAAAGAGTAAATTGCAAAAAGCCATTAGGAAAGAGAGGGAGAGAGAGAGATTATGTACCGTGTACCGTCAAATGAGAGTGATTACACTGGTGTGTCAAACACAGACAAATTAACATTTCCATTCAACTAAATGAACAGGGTCGATGAAAAGGGAGGCACGGTCCGAGGGAACACATTAGCTAACGGCTAACAGCTTCCTGATTAACTCACTTCAAATGCCAGAAGAAGAAGTGTCCTATCCGCTGATTGGTCAGAGCTTTCTTTAGCAGGAACCGTGCGAGTGGGTTATCCAGGTACTGCTCGTACTTCAGAACCTAAGGACCAGACACCAAAGATTTGTTTGCTCATTCACAACAGACAATAGGGAACGCAGTAGTAGTTCAGATCAGACGACGTTAGCACGAACCAGCCTCAAACATGAGGAAAGTCCAATCCACTGGAAAGTGGCAATATAGTAACCATTTGGCAGACATTTTTATCCGAAGCATCTTACAGCTTATTTATTGGTTTTTAGATACAGGTCATTAATGAGCAGTTAGGGGTTAGGGCATCTCGCTCAAGGATGCCTACATCCTTGAGCGAGTGAATGTCGGTCCACAGAGGGGTATTCCAGCGCACACACACCTGAACCAGCTGGATGAGATACTGCGATAGCCGGTCGTCAGTCAGGTACTTCTCAAGGCACTTAACGGCAAAGTCCCTGATCATGGGGTCAGGGAAGTTGCAGTCCAGCAGCTCCATGGCCTGCTCTGGTTTAATGGCCGGCCAGTCCTTCAACAGGCAGTACATCTGGAGGAGGACAACAATGTCTTTAGCACAAATGGAAATATCCACCCTCCCCCACCTAAACAAACAGTACTTTGACTTTCCTTCCAGTTGTTTTTTTGTTGTTGTTACTCTTTCATAACATCCTAAAATGCACTACAAAGCACATTATTCCCACCTTTATCTCTCTAAAAAAATCTCTGGAGTTGCATTAATTTGATGAACAAGGCCACGGGCCGATCCAGTTATCCAAGTGATGCCCTTCAAAATAAGAGCGCGTCAGCATTTGTAAATCCGAGCATGGCGTACCTGTACAGACTCATCTCTGGAGTTCCATTTCACCGCCAACAGGAGTTTGGGAAGGATGTCTGGTATATTGAAGCAGTAATGTCTAAAAACAAACCCCAAGGTTTAATCATTCAGATCATGTACATAAATTGCACAGGTGAAGTCTGGTAGGTACTTCATACATAATGTAATCATAATGATCATCAGAATAAACACACTGACATACACACACAGCCTTACCTGTGCCTCCATAGGAAGTCTTTTTCCTGCTCAGTGATTTCAGAGAGTGGGTCCCTGCTACATACAAGGTGTAGCTGTTCGTTATCACTGTCCGTCAGGGGGTTGTCACGTGCTAACCTGTTACTCTGGGCAAAATAAATGTCCCCGGGATTAGATCCACTGATCTAATCCTGACACTGTTGTAAACAGCCAAGACATCGGCCCATGTACACAGTATGCTGACACACACACATGCATTGCTGGCACGCACGCACAAGCTATTTGGTCACCATGAATGTAATTTCACAACCCAATCCTGTGTTTGCGTTTCCCCTGGTTTGCCCTTACCACGCTGCTGTGATTGTAATTGTATCCCAGCTCTCTCGATATGCTCCAGTTCGCATGCTCCTCAATGGAAGCCATGTCTGGGAACTTGACGGGGCAGCTGAAGTGATCAAACTCCAGCTCCAGGCAGGGCGTTTCCTGTGTGTGTTTACAGCGCCGTGGAAAAAAACAAAAACAGCACAACAAGGTCAGCCCAGGTGCTAATTGTTAATCAACTAATGGAGGCCTTGAGGAGGGGCCATACGCAGAACGTATGACTAATTCATAAGTTGGCTAAGGAGCTTGGATGATCTGAAGGGAAGCGGCTTGCACCCATCTCTGAACATCTGTTAACGCTAATATGGAAATAGGTTGTATGCCATAAAACGACCACACGCAAACCCATTTGCATCTTATAGATGCAAATACATACATTCATATTGAGTAGGGAGAAATTGTGGGGATAAGATCAGAAGGGTGAGAATCAGGCAGTCAAAAGTGTATTACGTTTTCTGGAATGAAATTGGGCTTTTTAATGTATTTATTTTCCTGCATTTATTTAATGTAAGATAGAATTGTGCTTTTTCCATTTTTAAAATGCATGTCTTTTTTGCCATTTTTTTTGGCCCAGCTAGCAGATGTTTGGTTTAAGATAGTAAAAACAACACACTTGATGTGCAATACAATTTAGCTTCAAATAAACAAGAAAAAAGAACAAAATAACCAAAAATGGAAATGAATAAAAGAAACACAAAAACATAACGGCTTTCTTGCCCATCAAGTCTAGCGCCTAGAGAGCTCCTTGTCTCTCACCTTGTTTGGGTTGGAACCGGTGACGCCGATGGGGTTAAGCAGGTCTTCTAGGCCGTGGGGAACGGGCCACAGGTTCAGAGCCATCTTCCCTGCCACCAGCGTGTGGGTGTAGTCAAACAGGTTGATGTTGCCCCAGGCCAGCGGACAGTGCTCCTGCAGAACGATGCCGAGCAAATAAAGTCAAGCATGGGGGAGGGCGATAACGATTAGTTTTGGATCTTTTTTATTTTTATTTTAAAAAAATTAAAAATCGGCTTGAGTGAGTATCGCAATTCTTTGCTTCCGGATACCTGAATCGTCAGGTTGACTCAAAAATCGTTTTATCATCTAAGTGAAAGCAAATGAATGGTACCATTATACAGTGGGCGCTACAGTGTATTTGTCTGTAGTCAATTCGCACTTTCAATCAAATACATTTAAAAAACGGGCGAATGACGGACCTGTAGAACCTGAACCTCAACGGTAAACCCATACGTTAAACCACTCAAAAGATAAAATCGCAAAAAAAATAAATGTAATATCTTATCACAAATGTACAGAATCGGAATACATCGTATTGGCACTCAAAATATCGAATTGTGAGTTCCCTTGCCGATTCCAGGCCCCAAAGATTAGACGTCACAGAGAGAGAGACGGGGGGAGAAAAAGCAGCCTCAGGCTATAAACCCGCTAGTGTGTTGTCTGTGAGTGTTGCTCCTCCTTTGTTTTGGCCTACTTTAATGGCAAGTTCAACATACTATAGCCCAGAAACGCAAACAAAAACCTGTTTCGACATGAGCATAATTTCTGAGCTCTTCTGTTGACACCCAATCCGCTTGTTGTTGTCGAAGATACTATTTTGACAATGTGACTGATTATGGTTTTCTCATTCCTACAGCTACGCTCAGTCCAGTTGTTATTTTTACAAACGTACCCGTGCAGCACACATTTTTTACTCAAATGCTTTGGAAAGAAAACGTCTGCTGAACCGCAAACATTAACAATAATAACAATATAATAACAATAATTTGACACGTATGGTTTTTCGGCCAACCAGGGGTGTTAAAGAGAGCGTGTAGTAGTGCCGCTGACCTCCTTCGCGCCCTTCCTTCCCTTCACAGAGCAGATAGAGAGGCAGAGCCGGGCGGCGCGCGGGATGTCTGGAATGTACATTTCGTAGTTCAGCCACTCGTTCCACCTGAGAGGAAGAGCATGCACACACCCCCACAAATAGACACACCCGCGCACACACACACACACACACACACACACACACACACACACACACACACACACACACACACACACACACACACACACACACACACACACACACACACACACACACACACACACACAGGTTATGGTTATTCTCAGCCGACCCTTGAGTGACAAGAGGGAGATTGCGGCGGCCATGGAGAGGCGGTAACCGCTTCGGCGGTCTGAACACGGTGATAATCTATAAGCGGCGGTAATGTATAAATGTGATTACCTGGGGTTGGAGCACGGCACGCGCTGCGTATTCACGTTGTCACACAGCTGCTCTCCACCGTGGTAGATCCCCGTCCTGACATAGATCTAGGAGGAACAAGGAAAACATTGTAAATCTGTTGGCGGGTGCGCATCCGACAAAAAAACACGACATCCTGCTCAGATGCCGTGTTGGCCTTTGAACAACGCATCCCCCATGAGGGAACAGGGAAGAGGGAAGCCAGACTATTCAGGCTCGAGTGGAATCACAAGAGGAACATTTGCAATGGATGTATTTTTTTTAGATCACGTAGGCACAGGATGAAGCCACGTGTTGTCCCTCATGTTATTTACTGGATTTATTTTTTACTGTCGTTTTATTGGCATATATTATTGCTTTTATGTCTGTGAAGCACTTTGTGACAGACACTTTGTGTGTCTGAAAAGGTGCTACATAAATAAAGTGTATTATTATGTGCGCGTACATACACACACTATTTACTACTCAGTCGTTAAGCAAGCACTTTAATCCAAAGCAACTTTCCAAGGAAGGTATTTGTTACATGTCTTCTAATGAGAAGGTAGGTGTAAGGCATCTTGCTCAAGGATGCCTACAGGTAGACTGCGGACACTGGGGTTCGAACCCAGGACCTTTTGGCTCCGAGTCAAACACCCTACCCAGATAGACCAGTGGTTCCCAACCTTGGGGTCAGGACCCCACTTGGGGTCCCCTGACATGCATATGGGGTTGCAGGAGATTGCTGACATAAGCTATAGATATTTGATGATCCATTTTAGCGAACCATTTACTCATAGACGTCCTGTACACACAAACTGACTGCCTTATGTTTCATAGCCACGAGCAAACTACTACAATCACTTAGCATGTAGTAGAGCGATGCGATTACGTTCACCGGGACATTGATATTACTGGCAGATGATGATTGGGCAAAAACAATTTGCATGGAAGCAGATGCACGAAAGTTAAAGTTAGGGTCACCAACATTTTCAGAACTAGAAATGTGGTCAGGGGCCAAAAAAGGTTGGGAACCATTGAGATGGACTATCTTCCCACCACAAACACAGTTTTTGTTACCTTGTCAATGTCCCGGATGTTGACATTGACGTATGTGGCGCAGAGTATCCTGATGCGCAACGTGCCGTTGATGGCCCATAGACACTTGGTGGCCGTCTCGCCGTTCATGTAGGGTGTTGCCGTGGAGATGCGGCGGGCATATGAGGGCATGGTGAAGGTGTCCATGGGAAGCTGGGAATAGAGGCTGTCCTTCGCCATCAGCATCAGGTTGGGCATCCGGCCCAGCATGATGCAGCTACGCACGTACTGCCAGTAGATGAGGGGGGGGAAGATAGTAGGCTTATCAGTAGGGCTATTATTATATTATTACTACACGTTTGCGAACATCACTCAGCAACCATCATGTGGATGGTTTCAATTTTCAGGGTTTTCAGTCAGCTGTTCCTGATTTGTTCTTTGTAAACTGACTTGAGGCAAACATTACAGTGTTTCCAGTACATGCATCCAGCAGTGGTGCAGTGCTGGATAACTAGGGCCACTGCAGTCAGCCATGCAAAAAAAAAATATTACTAATTATGTTGGGCACCCGATATGCTATTTGTTTTATTTAAAAAAAAACATCATAGGTGCCACCTACTGCACCCCCCTCAATTGTTACATTGTCATTATTGTAAATGGAGAGATATTGTGGAAAAATACGGACAGCAAGATAGTGTTCTGCTATAGAAGAATAAAAAACATGTAGGAGGCATTAGCTCATCATGAATGGCTTTAGACTAAATGTAGGAAGCATAAAGAGAAAAGGTAACAGTGACTTAATAATAGAAAGTAGCCTACATGTTTTATTGTGTAGAACAGAAGCAAAAGTATTATGAAACCCAGACGATGGGATTGCTACAAATGGCAGACTGAAAACTTGCTAATATTAAGGCTAAAATAATTTTTGTGTGCTCGCATGTTATTTGTTCTTATGTTAAGTTTTTATACCTTTTTGTTGGAATAAATGCACCAGAGGACCACTGGAATCACTGATCAAACTAAAACATCTCTGTGCCCGCGCACATCAACAATGTGCACATGCACAGCAGCACTGTGTACACGCGCACATCAACATAGTGCACCTCACACACACCTCGGCGCCGCTGCTGGAAAACATCGCACACATCGAAACACTGCATTCCATCACGCAATAGAACCGCGGTTGTTTGGCTGCAAAGCTAAAATGCGCAGAGCATTTCTTGGAATTTGCCAAATATTTCCCGCTCATTTTGAATTCACATAATAATGAATGAAGGGGTTCAATTACTTCATACACTTTGCGGATACTAACTTGATAAATGTAATGTGTATGTATAAAGGGATTAAATAGCATTTTATGGGGTACGGGGTGTGGTGCAAGCAAGCTAGACAATGAGTCTGTATAATGTCATGTAAATCATGCAAGTGATTTTGGTACATTTATCTGCCATCACTTGGAAGTTCAGGGACCAAGGAGAATTAATGATATATCACCTGCCTTGCAAACTTGTACAACACACACACACACAGTCACACAAAGGCGCACTTGCACGCACACACACACAAAAAAACCCTCTGGGCAGCTCCAGTCACTGTACGCTGAGCCGCATCCCAAGGCGAGGTTTACTTCAGAATACTATTATAAATTCAGAAGTACAACGAAATGTGATCCCTGCATTTAACCCATCACTAGCACGCTAGGAAACCGGAGCACCTGGAAGGATCGAACCCAGCACAGGAGGGGGGGGGGGGGGGGGGGGGGGGGTCATGGTCCTCTCACCTTGTACTGACTCAGAGGGTACTTCTCCAGCAGGTACTCATCGCAGCCGCACACCTTGAGGATGTACTTGCCCTGGTACTCCTGCACACACATCTTCAGCTGCTCGTGGGAGAGGAGCATGCTGCGCGTCTTCTTCTTGATTGCCTCTGCGATCACCTGCTCCGGCACGTAGTCGTGGTTGATCTTCAGCGTGTACTTCTGCTTGTCGTTGCTGGGTGTCACGATCACCCATATCACCACGATGATCTGACCTGGGGTGGGGAACCATGAACCAGTAGGACTGAACAATTAATTGCATATGAATTGCAATCGCGATTTCAGCTTCTGCGATTAGATTAATAGAGAAAGGTTGCAATTAATTAATTTGTTTAAAAAAATAATTTTCAAATAATTATAAAAACATGAATTTGTATGCCTGGTATATCAAATTACAAACCGTTACAACTCTGCAATATTATTATTATTATTGTTTATTATACATTAGGTGTCACAGAATATTAATTCATCCATAATCTGTTAATTGCAATAAATAATAGCAATCAAAATATCGGGGCAAAATAATTGCAATTATAATTTATTTTATTTTTATCACATAATAATATAGAAATGGTGGTCACCACGGGCCTGTAAGAGAGCCAAAAAGGTCCATACCCTTGTCTAGCTTATTGAAGATGTGCTTTGGAAGTTCTGTGGAGGTCTCTACGTTGGGGGGGTAGACGTACAGGGCCCGGCTGTGAGGCCCGTTGGTGTCCCGGAGGTCCACTGCCTCCTTGCACACGTTCAGGATGTTCCTCCTGAAGTCCTGGACTTCCGGGTCCTTCACCAGATCAAACTCGCATATGGGCATCCCGATGGCAAAACCTGCAAGAGTGTAATATGAGGATATATGATCATATTTTACTGTAAAACCACACTCAGATTAACATGTGACTCAGTGATCTGAACTAGTGCACTTTGCATATAAACAGCATTGCATGAAAGAGGACACGAGCAACACAAAGTTCAAAAGTGCCATAACAACAATAATACTATCTACTAAGTAGTTATTTAGCAGAAACATTTATCCAAAGTGACTTACAATGAATTCTGATACGTAACACAAATTCAGAAACATGTAATCCAGGAGACGGTAAGAGTTAGGCATCATGCTCTAGGTTAGGCCACAGTCATTGGGTCTTGAACCCAGTACCAGGGACTAGTACCCAAGCCAACTACACTATCCTGTACAAAGGATGCCTACAGGCAGGCTGCAGTCACGGGATCGAACCCAGTAGCACCACCACCACCACCATCACCATCATAACCTACACTACACCATCATGGCATTTGTAACAAACAGACTCTCGACCCACCGATCTCCCTGTTGAGGATCTTCTCCTCCCGGTTGCCTACAGGCTCGATGATCTTCAGGAAGGCCTGAAAGAGCCTGAGGTCACACAGCCGGCGCGTCTCGTCGTAGAACTCCTCCCGCTCGGCCTCCTGCGTGACGCTGACGAAGATGTAGGACGTCTCCTCCTGCAGCAGATGGTGCAGCGGGTGTTTCCGGGCCTCCTTGAACAGTTCGTGCTTCACCGTGATCAGCGTGGCCTCCCGCAGGCACTCCAGCGTGAGGAACATGCCGTTGGGCAGGAGGCAGTCCACCAGGATGCGCGGGGGCATCAAGTGCATGCCCCATAACTCCCCCGATGACGGCCTGGGAGGCATCCTGCTGCTCGGGGGGGGTTTCTCTCTCTGTCTTCTGGGTTTTTCTCAGCACTCGCTATTTAATATGATGTGCGCATGTACTGAAAATAAAAAGGAGAAAGAGAGGCGTTTATGGCATTTTTTTGTTTCTGCCTTGGGTCTGGGCGATAATTGAATGTTGTTTTTCCATTTTGGCAAGTGGTGTCAACGTTGGCGGCATTTATGTTGTGTTACCAACTTATCATAATATGCAGCTACTACCTAATCTAGATCCATATACGACATGTCCACAGTTATTGAACAACATTGCACAACGTCAGGGAGAATGGGAATTGGTGAAAGACGTGATGCTGTAATGTAAACAACCTCCACTGGCATATTCAGAGTGGGATTGCATACAGGAATACCGTATATGCACAGCTATATAAATAACGACCATTTAAGAAAAAGAAAGGGGTACGATATTGTCATAACACGTAGCGCCAGCACCGGGTCAACTTATTGACATCTTGAACCGCGCTTCGCGATAGCAACTCAATACAAACGTTGACGTTGGCATGCAGCATATTTCAGCGCAAACACGCACGACCAGCAGGTTGACAGGTCGCAACCGCACCGGCGCGTGACAACGACCGGGTTTGTTTTCGACGCCAACGGCACGCAGGCGTCCACGGTAAACAAACCCGGTGGCTAGCTCACGTTTTATTAGCGTTACTTTAATTCAGCTAGCCGCCGTCGTCGTTAGCCTGTGGCTAGGCAAAGCCGGCCGACTCCCACCCAGCGTATTGCTCTCCCCAACCGCCGCCGCCGCCGCCGCCGCTGCTGCTGCCGCTGGGGGTGTATTGGGTGATCGTACCAGGCTAGCTAAGTAGCAGCTAGCTCGCTAGCTAAGTTCAGCTGAGCCACAAAAAAAACACACCTCACTTTCCGATCTGAACGGGTTCACTGTTCAATGTTCACCCCGTAAAAGTCCGTTACCAAAGGGGGGGGGGTGGTGGTGGCGGCGACGACTAGCGTAGCCGCCGTCATCAGCGGCGGCTAAATAAAAAGATGACACCCTCGACTTTTCATTGACAACATCGGGGGGGAAAACACCGCCAAGCGCGGCGCTGCGTTTGGTGGCAGCTAGCTCACCGGTTAGCCGAGAAGCCCTAACAAGCCAGCGGTGCTAAT